CTGCCGATCTTACAATCAACAGAGTCAGTGTCTTAACTACTTGAGCCACCCCATCCCATAGCATTAATAAAGTAGGATGCAAAACTACTGACCTCAATTCTAGCAAATAGGATTAATAGCATTATCACTAAGTATATCTCTTTTGACCAAACTGGCTTTATGCCTAATAGAAAACTATCTGATGCCATAGACTAGTCCTAAATGTCATCCATCATGCCTCAAAATCTAAAACCCCAATTGTCCTTGTCCCTAGATGCCTTGAAAGCTTTTGACAGAATGAACTGGCAATACTTATTTGGAGTACTAAGAAAGATGAACTTTGGAAATAAATTTATTAGTGTGCTAGAAAACCTATACACAAACTCATAGGCTTTAGTGACATTCAATAGAATAAATTCGTCTACCTTTAGGCTCCAAAGGGGAACTAAACAAGGTTGTCCCTTGTCCCTGCTGTTATTTGCTATTGCAATAGAACCCTTAGCCACCTCAATCAGAGAAAATGAAAACATAAGGGGACACAAAATAGGAGGAACAACCCATAAATTAAATTTCTTCACAGATGATGTGATCATCTTCCTAAAACTACTGTTACGATAAGTGGTTTTGATTGCTTTTGATATCAAGACCTCTTTTGGATCCCTGTCATGGCCCTAGGCTGGAAAGAGCCTTCATCGCCATAAGCTCAGGGCAAGCATATCATGTAGGCATTCCAAACATCTGCATATCTATCCAAACAATCCTTCCCTTCCTTACGCATCATATTAAACTCCTTTGATACTTTTGCAGGTTTCTGAATTAACTATTCAAAATCTAAATTGCTGTGTCTCAACATTGCTCATGAGGACCAATTAGGCATTCAAATAGCTACCAATCTCCAGTTAAAACCATCAGGATTCACTTGTACCTAGGAATGACCATTACAAAAGATCTCAGTCAGATAATCCTCAGAAACTACAACAAAATAACTAAGGGGGATTGCAGACTGCCAGAAATAGTGCAAATTGAGTCCACTTTTAGGGTTAGGGTTAGTGCTAGGGAGTCATGAGAATTTTTTTTTCTGAGACATTGAGCCTTCTCTGTCAGAAAGCTCTGATGCCACAATAAAATACAGTTCCCATGATTCCCTAACCCTAACCCTAAAAGTGGACTCAATTTGCACTATTTCTGGCAGTCTGCAACCCCACTAAGTGGTTAATCTCTAAAACACTAGAATGGAAGAGACTGAAACTCTCTATTCTAGGCAGAATAGCTCTCATTAAAATGTTTATTGTCCCTCACTTATCCCTTCTATTTCAAACTATCCAGCTTCAACCACCACAGACAAAACTCAGACTTTGGTAAAATCTTATCAACTCATTTGCTTTTAACCACAAGAGCTCCAAATTCAGGAAATCCACACAATATTTCTCTTCCAAAAAGGGAGAGGGGGTTGGCAATGCCTGATCTTGTACTGTATTTTGCAGCATTCCAACTTAGGGGGGAAGCAGACGGGCGGCACGGGGCCACCCCAGGAAGCTGCGGATCAGGGCCGAGGCATCCGCTTTCCTCGGCCCCACGCCACCCCAGGAAGGAGCACTAAAATAGTGCTCCTTCCACAAATCGCTGAAGGTGCAGCACAAAAGGCTGCCGGCACACCTTCGGCGACTCTTCTGCTGCAGCGTGTGCGGACGCTGCAGCAGAAAGGCATTGTCGGAGCGCCAGCTGTGTGGAGGGCCAGCTGCTCCAACGGCGTCTTCGGGAAGGGGTTGGGGCGCCCAGCGTGTGGCTGCCCCTCCCCTTCCTTGCCCTGAAGATGACGCTTTGCACCGTCTGCTTGGCCCCTTAGTCAAATCTCTCATTTAATTAAAAAAGATCAAAGCATACATTTAATTTAAAAAGATCAGAGCATACAATGGATTAACATGGAAATGAATGGCCCACCATCAATTAATCTTGCTTTGTTCTTCAATAAATACACTCCACAAGTAATTAAAAACATTAAAAATCCATGGCTACAAACATGGTAAGGATATGGTCAAGATGGAAGCAAGTCCTAGTGTAGTGGAAAAACCAACTGTTCCAAATTAACTCCCAGCATCCACGGTTCTTTGCAGAGCTTGAGGCAAAGCAGGAGACCATTAAGGTAGTTTAAAAAGACAGATTTATTTTGCTGGCAAAGTCCCAGTGGAATTAGCATTTCAGATCATTGGGCCCAGGACAAGCCAAGATGGCCGTAGT